GCACCAAGTGTTCCACAGCCCGCCCAGCCAACCAGAGGTGGGGGTAGAGGTGCTAGAGGTGGAGGTAGAGGTGCTAGAGGTGGAGCTCAGGCCGCTAGGGGTGGAAGCCAACCAGCAGTAGGCCATCCCAGAGAGGTAGTTCAGGGTGGTGGGGCCCAGCCCCAATTTTATGCTCATCCAGCTAGGCCGGAGGATGAGGCTTCCGATGCAGTTATCACAGGTACGGTTTCGGTTTGTAGTAGGGAGCTTCAGTGCTATTTGATCCAGGGTCTACCTACTCTTATGTGTCATCTTATTTTGCGCCGTATCTGGTCGTATCCAGTGATTCTCTAAGTATTCCTGTTTATGTATCCACCCTCTTGGGTGATTCTATTGTGGTAGATTGTGTTCATCGTTCTTGCGTGGTTGTGATCGAGGGTCTTGAGACCCGAGTAGACTTATTATTGCTGGACATGGTCGATTTTGATGTCATACTGGGGATGGACTGGTTGTCACCTTACCATGCCATCTTGGATTGTCATGCCAAGACTGTGACCTTAGCCCTACCGGGTTTAACTCGTTTAGAGTGGAGAGGGACTCCTGGTCATTCTACCCGTAGTGTTATCTCATATATGAAGGCTCGGCGAATGGTCGAGAAGGGGTGTTTGGCCTATTTGGCATACGTTCGTGATTCCATTTCCGAGGTTCCTTCCATTGATTCTGTGCCTGTAGTTCGTGAGTTTCCTGAGGTATTTCCTTCGTACCTGCCGGGTATGCCACCCTACAGGGATATTGATTTTTGCATTGACCTGGCTCCGGGCACTCAGCCCATTTCTATTCCGCCATATCGCATGGCCACGCCTGAGTTGAAAGAGTTAAAGGAGCAGTTGCAAGACTTGCTTGATAAGGGCTTCATTAGACTCAGTGTCTCGCCATGGGGTGCGCCGGTGTTGTCTGTCAAGAAGAAGGACGGATCAATGAGAATGTGTATAGATTACTGGCAATTGAACAAGGTCACAATCAAGAATAAGTACCCATTGCCGAGGATTGAGGATTTGTTCGACCAGCTTCAGGGTGCCCAAGTGTTTTCTAAGATCGACTTGAGATCAGGCTACCATCACTTGAAGATTAGGGCATCGGATGTCCCTAAAACAACTATTCGCACTCGGTACGGGCATTATGAGTTCTTGGTGATGTCATTCGGGTTGACGAATGCCCCGGCAACTTTTATGGATTTGATGAACCGAGTGTTCAGGCCTTACTTGGATTCGTTCGTGATAGTCTTCATTGACGATATCTTAATTTATTCCCGCAGTCAGGAGGAGCATGGGCAGCATTTGAGAGTGGTTCTTCAGACTCTTGAGAGATAGTCAGCTGTATGCCAAGTTTTCAAAGTGTGAGTTCTGGTTGAGTTCAGTTGCTTTCTTGGGGCATGTGGTTTCAGCAGAGGTTATTCAGGTAGATCCAAAGAAGATAGAGGCAGTCAAGAACTGGCCTCGACCCACATCAGCCAATCTGGAGTTTCTTGGGTTTGGCAGGTTATTATCGTCGGTTCGTGGAGGGGTTTTCATCTATTACAGCCCCGATGACCAGGTTGACCTAGAAAGGTGCCCAATTTAAATGGTCGGATGAGTGCGAGGCGAGCTTCCAGAAGCTCAAGACAGCCTTGACTACGGCACCAGTGTTGGCTTTGCCTACAGGTTCAGGCCCATATACAGTTTATTGTGATGCATCTCGTGTTGGGCTTGGTGCGGTGTTGACGCAGAATGGCAAGGTCATTGCTTATGCTTCGCGCCAGTTGAAGATTCATGAAAAGAACTATCCAGTCCATGATTTGAAGTTAGCAGCCATTGTTCATGCACTGAAGATTTGGAGGTATTATCTATATAGCGTGGCATGCGAAGTGTTCACGGACCACAAGAGTTTGCAGTATTTATTCAAGCAGAAGGAGTTAAATTTGAGGCAGAGAAGGTGGTTGGAGCTATTGAAAGATTATGATGTCACTATCTTATATCATCCGGGAAAGGCCAATGTGGTGCCGATGCTTTGAGTAGGAAGTCGGCCAGTATGGGCAGTCTGGCGTATATTCCAGTCGGTGAGAGACCGCTTGCCCCTGATGTCCAGGCTTTGGCCAATCAGTTTGTGAGGTTGGACGTTTCTGAGCCCAGCCGCATATTACCTTGCACATTTGCTCGCTCTTCTTTATTGGTGCGTATCCGAGATTGGCAGTATGATGATCCTCGTTTATGTGTCCTCAGAGACACGGTGCAGCACGGAGATGCCAAGCAGGTCACACTAGGAGATGATGGAGTTTTAAGAATGCAGGGTCGTATTTGTGTGCCTAATGTGGATGGACTTCGGGAGTTGATTCTAGAGGAGGCCCATAGTTCCCGGTACTCTATTCATCCGGGCGCCTCCAAGATGTATCAGTACTTACGGAAGCATTACTGGTGGAGGAGAATGAAGAAGGACATTGTTGCGTATGTGGATCGGTGTTTGAATTGTCAGCAGGTTAAGTACGAGCTTCAGAGGTCTGGCGGTGTGTTCCAGAAGATTGAGATTCTTGAGTGGAAGTGGGAGCGTATCACTATGGACTTTGTTGTTGGACTCCCACAGACTCAGAAGAAGTTCGATGCAGTATGGGTTATTGTGGATAGGCTGACCAAGTCAGCATATTTCATTCCTATGGCAGTCTCCTATTCTTCCGAGAGGTTAGCTGAGATCTATATCCGGGAGATTGTTCGTCTTCATGGTGTGCCCGTGTCTATCATTTCGGATCGAGCCACGCAGTTTATCTCACATTTCTGGAAAGCAGTTCAGCGAGAATTGGGCACACGGGTGGAGTTGAGCACAGCGTTTCATCCTCAGACGACGGGCAGTCCGAGCGGACCATTCAGATTTTGGAGAATATGCTCTGAGCTTGTGTCATTGACTTTGGAGGCTGGTGGGATCAGTTCTTGCCTTTAGCAGAGTTTGCCTACAATAACAGCTACCAGTCGAGTATTCAGATGGCTCCTTATGAGGCTCTATATGGTAGGCGGTGTCGGTCGCCGGTTGGATGGTTTGAGCCAGGAGAGGCTCGGTTGTTGGGTACGGATCTAGTACAGGATGCCTTGGACAAGGTCAGGATCATTCAGGACAGGCTTCGTACAGCTCAGTCCAGGCAAAAGAGCTATGCCGACCGCAAGGTTAGGGATTTGGCTTTCATGGTCGGTGAGCGGGTATTGCTTCGAGTGTCGCCTATGAAGGGCGTGATGAGATTCGGGAAGANTTTGATGGCTTTCGTACTTCACACGCCACCAGAGTTTAGCATCACCCTGAAGATACATGGCAGCAGTTGCTACCTTCTTAGCTTCCTCCAGATCCCCAACAGCATCGAAATACTGTTCGACGTCAAAGATGAAGTTTTCCACTTCCTTGGCATTCCTAGCTCCACTGTATGGCTTTGGCTCAGGAATTTTCAGCTTCTTTGTCGCGGAAGCGGAGTTCACAGCACCTCCGATTTGGTTTCCACCTCCTCGGAGTAGGCCCTGTAAAGCAGCGTTGACAACATTGAGTTGGTCTGTCAATTTGTCAATGGTTTGTTGCATGGCAGTCACCTTTTCTGCCTCTTGTGCCCTGTGGGCTAAATCCTCGGTGCGCTCCTGTTGGAGCCCCTCGAATTTCTCAAAGATTTCGGCTGCCTCTGTGGCTGCCGTCTGCCGGTCTCCCTCGGAGTCGCGACTGCTGTTTTCAACGTCATCTTCGACCTGAAGCACCCTGCGGTCCAGGTCGTCCAACCTTTGCAGTAGGCTGGTACTTAGTTCAGGCACCGTATCCATAATAGGCCGCCATACCTCAACCGTCCCTTCGAGGGCCGCAATGCGGTCCCCATGATTCACCATGGTCAGAAATGGTGGTATGTCAATACGTTCCCTCGTCCGATGTCGAGCCTAGGCTCTGATACCAACTGTTACGCGGCGCCTTCCTGAGATTCCTTGGAAGGGCGACGTAAGGCTAGGCAACTGATGTCAGTGCAGTTGCTGTCCGCCAACTGAGGTCCCCTCCGTACGCTAGACGAGATTGTCAGTGCCGTACGGGAAAACCAATGTCAAGAGCAATTGAGAGAACAGAAATGAGAATTCAGAATGAAAGAAAGCTTGATTGCATTAATGAAAGCTATTACAAAAAAGCAACGCGGTGTCGAGGGGGAGAGACACCAGTACAGAGAATTGCTTGCTTGCTAGAAAGTTTTGATTGCTTGATCCCCCCTAATAGTACTTAAAAAAAATAATCCAAAGTTACAGGAGTAGACTTGATTAAGCTAGAGAAACATAATGGAAGTACATGAAATAAAACTACTCTATATTTACAATGAAAATGACTTAGTCTTCTATAAGGCAGCAGCAGGTCCGTTGTCAGCAGCAGTGTCTTTGGCATCACGGTCTGCGCGCGTGGCGCTGTTGGCTTTTGCCTGCTGCTTGGCGCTCGCGAGGGATATCGGTGGGGCGACAGAGGCACCTGCGCGCTTGTCACTTGGCGCGGCCAAGACCACGGGGCCGTCCGTGGCGCTAGGCATTGGGAGGCTCGCTAGGACGTCACGGAGCGCGTCCAAGGGGTCATGGGGCATGGCTGGAAAGCCGCCCATGACAGTATGTATGAATCAATGCGTTTTTATCCTGAAACATTTCTTCGGCTTATCGAAGTGATAAGACAAAATAATTTGTTGCCATCTGAGGGTAGAACCACACGTGTTTCAGTAATGGAGTCTGTAGCTATTTTTCCAACTGTCGTTGCACGTAATGACAGTCAACGCTCGGCAAGTGAATGTTTTAAACATTCACTTGAAACAATTAATCGACATGTTAGAAGAGTCGCCACGGCACTTTGTGAGATGGCACCAACATATGTATGTCCAAAAAATATGACTGGTGTACATCCAAAGATTCGATACGATAGCCGTTTTTGGCCTTGGTTTAAGGTAAACTCAAAAATAATAAGTAATAGTTAAGACTTCCTATTAGTTGCTCAAAGTGGGATTTCACTGTAATTAATGATTTATATATTTGGCTTTGGTAGGATTGTATTGGTGCAATCGATGGAACATATATTCAAGGAGAGATCCCAAGAAATAAGCAGCAGGCATAATGCAACCGCAAAGGAAATACTTCGCAAAATGTTTTGTGTGCATGTGATTTTGATATGAGGTTCACTTTTGTTGCAGCTGGCTCGGAGGGTATGATAGTAAAGTGCTTGAGAATGCAATTCTTGACCCATTGGCAAAATTTCCATTTCCACCACAAGGTATATAAGTACAACATTTAAATAACGTAGTAAATCATTTATGTTATTACTATTTTGTTGAATTGCATTTATTTCATATTGATAGATAAATATTATGTTGTCGACGCTGGTCTTCGGAACACGAAAGGATTCCTAGCTCCATACAAAGGAACGCTCTATCATTTGCAGGACTATAGAGGGAGTGAAAGAGAGCCCAAGAACGGCAAAGAGCTATTTAACTATAGACATGCCTCTCTGCGCAATGTAATTGAAAGAACATTTGGAGCGTGGCAAAAGTAGATTCAGAATACTACGACAAGGCATGAACAACTATGACTTCAGCACGCAGGTGAAAATAGTAGTTGCTTGTGCTGTATTACATAATTTTTTGCGTGAACATCAAAGCGGCGATGGAACATTCACCGAATATGAACATGATGATATGGATGTTGATGAAACTGAACAACAATCGACTCAAAGTAAAATATTGCTTCGTCTTCTCGGTCATCTGATAGGGAAATGCATGCTCGTCGTTAAGAGATTGTTCGTATAATGTGGGATGATTATATTACAGAATAGCTAGTTACGATCATTTTTTTTGGACTCATGGATCTTGTAATATTATTGCAATTTGACGAATTGTAATAGCTAGTAATTGTGTTTGTTATTAAAAATGATAATTTTGTACTAATTTATTTATGTTCAGGAATATAGTTTGTGATAATGATAATGAATGTTATTGATGAAGGTTCTGTATATACAAGATAGCAAGTTTATTTGTTTGGTACTATTGGGTATTTTTTTTTTATAGTTTTTAGAACTTGTGGGTATAAGTTAATGTTTCATGTTTTTTCAAATAAAAAGTGAAATATGTTCTGAAAAAACATGTCCAAACACATTTTCATCTTCAAACCAAACTTCACCCAAATCAGATTTTTCAAAATAAATTTGGGATCTATGGCCAAACGCTAGCTAAGTAACTTGTGACTAGATACGAGCGAATTGGTGGTGGAATCACGAGGTAAAGCTATAGTTGAGGCTTGAACTGAGTTCGTGGCATCGAGGTAAGTGTTTGGTCTAACCTTAGCTTGAGGGAATAGGAGTTTGATCTTGTATGCTACATGTTTATGTGTTGAGTACGACGTATAGGTGCGGTGACGAGTATCTATACATCGGTGTCGAGCATGACCGTGAGTCTTAAATTAAAATTTATTGTGTTATTGAGAACTACTACGAATGCCTAAGTTGTTGACTCTCTGTGTTGAGCAAGGTTTATAATTATTCTCGTAGAGATTACTCATGGTTGAGCATTTGTGTTAGTTGAGGTAGTAGATGTTGGAACAAGTTTGGTTATAGCTGATTTTCCCTTGCCGGGATGTGTTCATTCTTATTGTTGACTCCCTTGCCGGGATAGTGTAGTTCTTATTGATCCCTAGCCGGGACTCTTGTTATCGTTGATGTTGATTGTATATTTGGATCGGGTTGCATGCCGCAACAATGACATATTTGGATCGGGTTGCACGCCGCAACAATGATATATTTGGATCGGGTTGCACGCTGCAACAATGATATATTTGGGTCGGGTTGCACGCCGCAACAACGAGATATTTGGATCGGGTTGTACGCCGCAACAATGATATGATTGGGTCAGGTTGCACGCCGCAACAGGGATAAATGATATGGATCGGGTTTCACGCCGCAACAGTGTTGTTATATGTTGGGATCGGGTTGCGCGCCGCAACCATTGTTGATACAAAGTGTTTATGGATGGAATATAAGTTCCTTGTTGTTTCGTTGTAAACTCTAAGTGGTCCTTGTGCCTTGTTCTTGATTTACTGTTGAAACTGATATACCCCGCAGCATGTACCCCCTCCCATCTTTACTTGTTTATTTCTGTTTATATTCCGCTGTATATTATATAACTGCACAGGTTTATTTGGTAGTCTGGTCCTAGCCTCGTCACTACTTTGCTGAGGTTAGGCTAGGCACTTACCAACACATGGGGTCGGTTGTACCGATACTACACTCTGCACTATTTTGTGTAGATCCCAGTGCTACAGATTTCGGACCGCGGTGAGGTTTCAGCTTCCTACTTACCAAGCGACCCGAGGTAGTCGTGCAGGCGTCCGCAGGCCTTGGCGTCTCCCTCTATCTATTTTCCTGTTTCTCTTATGTAGTTCTAGAGACAGTATTTTGTTATTTCTTTCAGACCCTTATTTGTAGTACTCTTAGACAGTCTGTGAAGTTGTGACACCAAATCTTTGGTGATTTTGTTATGGGATGGTATTAGTAGTACTGTTAAACTTGAAATTTATTTCTTCCGCATGTTAAATTATGTTGCTATAAATTGTTGATGCTAGGTCATTAAATAAAATGAAAATGGAAAACAGGTTAAATAGTTCAGTTAGTTGGCTTGCCTAGCTTTCACTAGTAGGCGCCATCACGACTCGCGAGGGCGAGAAATCCGGGTCGTGACTAATTATATATTTTGTATAATTTCTTTTGTATATTTTGTATCTGATTTATACATAGTAAAAATAAATTTCATACAACTAATTATATATTATACAACTTATCTACAATTTTCATACATTATTTCTATTCAGTTATATACAACTACAATATCATACAACTTAAATATAATTTTTATACAATGTTGTTCAACTTTCATACAATAGTTAAATGAATAAAAGAAAAATAAATAAACAACAAAATACAATTTTTCTATAATTTTACTACAATTTCTGCAATATAATGTATGTCATGTCTTCTTCTTCTTCGAGTTTCAATCTGAAATTGAGCCAAAACCAAGTCTAATCTTCACCAAAACCCCTCAAAATTGAGATATAAACTCCAAATCATATTCCCAATTATTTGCAACAACACTCAATCCAAACAAATAATGATTTTTGAAAACCCAAATTCGAATTCAAAGCTTCAAAGCTTTTTAATGGCTGTTAATGGTGGAATTGCTGCTCTCTTTTTCATTGCTTTATATTACTGAAATTTGGGATTGAGAGATAGAGAGAGACGTAGAGAGAATTCTCAATTCTTTGCAACAACATCCAATCCAAACAAACAATGTCTTTTGAAAACCCAAATTCGAATTCAAAGCTTCAAAGTTTTTTAATGGTTGTCAATGGTGGAGGGGTTACAGATTTTCGATGGTTTTAGAAGAGGAAATAGTGGGTGATTGAAGAGGAAATCGTGGGGTGTGGTTTGATACGTGGGTGATGGGGTGAGATTTGGAGAGAGAAACTTGGGGGGAGTGGGAATATACGGTAGAGTTAAATTAGGAGACTAATTAATACCATTAAAACCCCTAAAATGTACATAAATGGTAATTAGGTATATAAAAGGTAATTATATTAAAAGTTAAGCATGGAGGGTAATATAGTTTACTATATGACATAGGAATGTAAAAATCTCTTTTGGATTTGGGTTTTGGGAATTTGCCACAATGTAGATTAAATCTATGACCAAACATGTATTTGCCAAAAAAATCCCAAATATATTTTGCAAAATCTATGGCCAAACGGGTCCTAAGTGACCCATCCCTAACTAAAACTTTGCATGCCCTTTTTAGTTTGTTTTTTTCTTTTTCTTACAAAGAACCCAATGGCACACGTTAGTTTTCTTCCCAACACCATCAATAAGGATATCTAGTCTAACAAAACGGTACTGCTTTTAGCCAAACAGAGGTTCACTTCGTTATATTGCAAATACGTTACTCAAGAGTCTATCAAATGTCTATAGCAAATTGAAGCCGGTTTGACGGATCACTAGTGCAAATCTCGTCGATTGAAAAATCTTCAGAATGAGTGAATCCCCTCAATATAATCTGTAAAGAATACAATGCTGGGAACAGGAAAATAATTGAAAGGAAAGATAAATGTTGAGAAGTAACAGAGAGCAACGACGAACTTTCTGCTGCTTTCTTTCTTTTTGTTTGTTCTCTTCCCATGTTGACTTAATTGAAAAGTTTACTTTTTGCACCTTTGAGAAATTGGTAACTTGACAAATTGACAATGAAGATCAGGATTCAAACCCTAACATTGTACGACTTTTTCTCATCTAACTCTGGTGGACAGATATACCCAATCCCTTTGCTAGTAGAAGATACCACGTATTCAGTGGATTAGTCAAGGCGCGCATAAATTGAACCACACACCACCATTATCCACGGAGAAAAAAGAGAGAAGGATAACACTGTCAACTTAAACCAATAGTTCTATTGTTATAAGGTGGGCAAAAGGTTTTTCCGGAGCAATAGCTGTTCCCTTAGTTCGGTAAAAGGATTGCTCACATTAGCTTATCAAGTTTCAACATATAAGGCAGGTTTGTGTAGAATATAGGACTCGAATGGAATTTCAGCTTGGCTTTTGCGTCGTAGTTGTTTTAGAACTCGGTATAACTAACAGGCTAACGACGAAGGACCCTATAAAAAAACTTTATTATTCATAGAAATGTGTATCCAGCTATGATTATGAATTGAGCTTCTCAGTTAATTTGCCACACCAAAAAAGTATAAACGTCATATTCAAGAGAGTTCATTTTCAACATGATAAGAAAGGTAATGTACAGAACAAACCATATGCTATCTAGCCCACCAAGAAGGAATAGATTTGTTGATCAATGTGCTAGCGCTTGTGGTTGACTCTAATCTGCAATTAAATAGGAATTATTCTCTAAAACAATTTACAAGTTTTGCATATAAAGCTGGAATCAAAAAAAGATTATGACAAATGCAAGTGACAGTGAAGTGACACACAGGTGTCCCATTCTAGTATGTGCTTGTGTATCCATGTGTGCGCGTGTGCGTGTGTGTATGTGAGAGAGAGAGAGAGAGAGAGAGAGAGAGAGAGAGAGAGAGAGAGAAACAAACTTTGTAATCTCCTCAACGGCTTTCATAACTTCAACAGAATCTGTTTCTAGCACTTGACCACCTAAAATTATTTCATCTAAAATGGTATGCATCTGTGGAAGACAATCATTCATTAGATATAAATATGCATAAAATAGATGAAGACTAATACTTATTGATACCACACAAAGCAAGAGAAATGGCATTTGAAACGTATTGCACAGGATGAAGCTTGTGTAAAATTGTGAATACGCCCAAGCTTTTATTACTAGAAGCTTTATGCATGTTAAAGAGGTGACCATATGCTGGTTATAAGTTATAACAGGGAAAAGTCACAATGGTGCCCAATATTTGGGAAAAGCGGTATCGTCTGGAATAAGGAGTCCATCTAAACATATAACGCAAATGTTATGAACAAAGTTCATTATCGAGGGAGCATGAAAGTTTCGCACCTAATCAGAAC